ATTCTGAAGATTATCAAGAAGAGCGACTACAACGTAGTCGAGCAACTGGGGCAGACCCCGTAAAAAATTTCCATGTTATCCTTATTATTGTGTTCTGAAGCCCACGCAAAGGCTCTAATTGCATTCCTCAAGACTGCGCATGTGTCGCAGGAAACTTCAGTCGATCAATTCAAAGATTGCGTAGCTAGTTTGACTGCCGACAATGGGTTGGGTTTCTCAGATGCAGATCTGACTGCTAAAGGAAGAAATCACAATGATGCTTTGCACGTCTCGATCGAGTGCAGGGGCACTACTATGGCCCATGTACTAGTGGATACTGGGTCCTCATTGAATGTCTTGCCAAAGAAAACATTAGACCGTCTGGATTGTGAAGGTTTGATTCTGAAGCCGAGTAATATTATGGCCAGGGCTTTCGACGGGTCAAAAAGGATGGTACATGGGGAAGTGGACATCCCTGTTAAAGTTGGCTCTCAAACTTTTGGATCCACCTTCTATGTAATGGACATCAGGCCATCATATTTTTGCTTGCTAGGTCGTCCTTGGATTCATATGGCTGGGGCAGTGACTTCAATGCTCCATCAAAAGCTGAAATATCCGGCAAAAGGGAAGATTGTCACAGTACAAGGTGAGGAGGAGTATATGGTGAGTCATCTCAATTCCTTTCGCTATGTGGAGATGGATGGGGAGTTCATCGAAACCCCTTGTCAGAACTTTGAAGAAGTCCCCCAGGCTTTAGCGTCAACTAAAGTTGGTACCGATAAACCTCGGATGAAGATGGCTTCCCTCAAGGATGCCAGGGCTGTAATTGAAAAAGGTGGGTGTGCAAATTGGGAGTCGGAGGATGCCTGCCAAATCCTCAACAGATAACTCATGATCTTGATTGAAAAGGAAGAATGTGAGATTACCATAGTATTCTCTCGCAGAGCCCGTCCACATTTTCTCTAATTGAAACTCAATAGTACTCAAAACTCAAACGTAATGCGCTCATATGTCGGCACCTCAAGATGCATAAATTCAAGCATCCCCAACACATGAAACATCTGATCAACCTCAAATTTTTAATCCTAAATAATCAAGGGTTTGGTCACAGATGTACCTGGTAGAAGTAAGCTTACGCTTAACTTGAACGGAGTACCTTCGCTCGTGCTCCAGTGTATCGAAAACAATGTTATGCGGGTTCGGTATACGGCTGCTCCTCTTTCGTCTCCTTGATATCTCAACCACTTGTTGCTTACCCTTGACATGCCTCTTGTGGGGCATTTTTGTACCTTCCAAAATTGAGAAAATTTCGAATAATGAAATTAGAAAAAATGGACCCCGAAATATGGTAGAGGATGGAGAATGGTGAAGGTTTTGTGAAGGTGGTTTTTTTATTTGGGTTGGTTTAGAGGTGAAAGATGAGAGCTTTTTGTTTTGGTTTAATGGAGCGTTAGATTTTGGGAGAGAGAATGGTGTTGAAGAAGATGAGAGTGGTGAGATAATGATTTTAAATCTGATTTTTGAAAGGGGTTAATGGGTATAATGGGTTGTAATTATGTATAAATGAGAGGTGGGGTCCAGAAGAGAGGAAAACAAAAATCAAGATGTTCAACTTTGCAAGCTTGACACGAGCCATGACAACCAACACGGTCGACTGTGTTAGGCATCTGTTTCTTTAAAATTTCATGCGTTCACTTCAAGCTTCCTGACACAGGCCATGTCAAAGGACACGGGCGCCCGTGTCAGGCATCTGGGTTTTTTTTAATTTTCATGCACTTTTTCTTTAGTCCTCCTGACACGGGCCGCGTCAGTTGAAACGGGCGGCCATGTCAGGTGACAAATTCTTCATCAAAAGTTTTATCATTTTTCCAACTTTTTTTGTTTCTTCCGGCACAACTTCCTTCACTAATGTTTGCTCAAATTTCTCATCCACTTAGTTGTCTCCTCTTTCTTGTGCAGGGTAATGTGCAATACCTAAACAAAACCTAAAACACACAACAAAAATAAAGAAAATAGTTAGAAATAAAATGCGTGGGTTGCCTCCCACGAAGTGCTTAGTTTAACATTGCATGGCTCGACGGTCCTCCATCTTATCCTATAAGAAGAACATCATCTATCAGACCACTTTCTTGTCCTTGATAGTATGATTTTATTCGTTGTCCATTCACCTTAAAGGTGTCCCAGTTTGCTTGATTTTTAAGCTTGATCGCTCCATGCAAGAAAACTTTGTGAACGACAAATGGTCTGGACCATCTTGACTTCAACTCTAATTTAAGAATTTTGGTTTCAACTTCTAGTGGCAAATATCCGCCCAAGAGATAAACAATAGGAACACTTACTTGGTATGACAAACATTTCTTGTACTTCCTCACCTACAACGTCAGAGTTAATCTTGCTCTTACTAGTTTCAATTTCTTGAAGAAAATAATAAGAATTTCTTGACTGGAATGAGAAGTTTGAATATGTGGAATAGTTTTCTCTGTTGTCTTGTTTTTTTATTATTAATAAAATATTTTCTTTTTCTGTTATTGCCTATTCTTGTTTATTGATAATAAATATTTTGAAAATTACTAATTAACAAAGAAAAACATGGAATATGGAAAAGACGCCAAGTAATAAATCATGGAATTTTTTTTAATTGCGGTAACAGGAATTTGAAGTGAGATACATTATAGCTATATTACCTCGGTTCTCCAAAAAATTGAGAGAATATGTTTATTATTATTTTTATGTATAAAAAATGGTGCTCAGTTACAGTTGTGTTACCTCGGTTTTTTATAACACTGAGGTAAAATTTTGTTTATTTTATTAAAAAAATCAAACAAGGCGCTCGTAGGACATATATACTCTCAGTTTTTAGTATGTTCGAGATGAAAGCTTCGTCATAAAAAGTGTTATTCGTTGTAGTGCATGGTTCTGGAGTCGGTTATACAAAAGGAAGATATTATCACCCGTCACATTCGTTGTACTTAACATGGCCCATTTTGTTTGTTTTACAAAAGAATGTTAGCTTATAATACTTGCAATCTTCTACTTATTGGTTGGTTTATTTTAGCGAGATATATACTCTATCACATTCAAACAGAAAATATTTCGAGCTACCCAAAACATAGAGGAGTGAACATTTGCATCGCATCAAGAACGTACAACATAATATAGATTTCACATGCTTCTTTCGCTTATTCAACATCACTCAACATTTCAAAATTATCTGGATCAATGTATTGATGAATTATAAAGAGAGCTTTATAAAATATTTCTTCTTCAATTCTTTGTATGCAATATTTTCTTCATCCGTAGCGTTTTCTTCAAATAGTGTTACCAATTCATTCACAAGATCTCAAAGATCTTGATAACAGAAAATGATCTTCATTTGTTTGCACCAATTCTCATCGACTCTTTAGAATTTAGAGACTCGCCGTAAAATTTCCATTCGGTTGATTCATTATCATCGTGTTTTTCTTATGACGAATCGCTCGATCAGTGCTCTAGATACCAGATGTTGGAATTACACCAAGCCTATGGGGAATTTCGAATCAATCTTGACGAACAAGAATCAATTAACCGATCAAATCCCCTCTTGTTCTTCACTCTTTACTCAAGTGAATCAACCAACCATGGTTGCAAGATGATTTTGTTGCACAACTGTTAATGGAAGAAGAAAGAACAGATAAATTTGGGAAGAAATGGAATTAGGGTTTGAACAAAATAGAGAAAGAAGAAAAAAATTATGCAGAATTTCTCTCTGCTTTCAAACTGAATTTTTTATTCAACTATGCAACTGCATTGATATATTACAATAATAAGGGTTACACTCTATATAATTTTGAATTTTCTCGCTCCCTAAACAAAGGCCAAAAACAAAGTCCAAAATACTAAATTCTGCTAACACTACAAAATCTCAACTAAATTGAAATTTCTATTGAGTTACACTATTTTGTTCTATCAACAACTATACAATTCTAAAACACACAAAACTATTTCAACATGATATTGTTTCTATCGATCAACGTGCTTCAATATAAAGAGCATGTCTCAACTCTCATCAAAGTATAATGAAAATATAACTCTAGATTGCTATAAATATTCGGCTATTGAATTTGTTTGAAAAATACCAATTTTGTATAATAACTAAAAAAATAGTTCGGTTATTGATTATATTGAAAAATACCAAACAACTGTAAAACTGTGTGATTAGATATGAATAGACTATGACTTATGAATAATTATTTTTTAAATAATTATTTAAAAAATATTTATTCAACCTAAATTTTCATTTGAATCTTTTATAAAAAAAAAAATTATAAATTTATTTTAGTTACACTATAAAAATTATTTAAAAAAAATCAAAACAGGATATCATGACTCATGTTCATGTAGCATAAGTAATAGTTAAAATTTTCATTTCAGCAGCAAAAAAATAATATTATTATAATATCATGAAGCTAAAATTTGAGGGATTCAAAATTTGAATTTTTTATCAACATACACACTTTTTATCACCTAAATCCCAATATATCATCTACTACATTCAATAATCTCAATCTACTCTCTTTTCAAACAAAATTTTTTTTTACCACAATTCATCCGTCAATACAATGGGCGGAGCAGTACAATTTTTATCCAATCCGCTGAAGTATTGGGCGGATGCTGTAAATAATAGAGAGGGTCCTCCCATTGGATGAGCGGAAGAGTACAAACCTTTTTTTTTTTTTAGTTTCTAAATTAAAGCAAAAAACGTCATTTAAACAGCTCCGCCAATGCAATAGGCGGAAGCTGTATAAAATAAAGACCATCCGCTCATTCATTGGGCGGAGCCTCTTAATTTCAAATTTTTTTTTTTTGAAAAGGTAGTATAGTGAGAATATTGATTGAAATGTGTGGTATATTGGGATTTAATGGTAAAAAGAGTGTATGTTAGTAAAAAATTCTCAAAATTTTCCTCCGGTTGTGGATGAAAGAGAAAAAACTCTTACAATTACAAGATTAAATTTCAAAAGCTTTTGTACAGAAGGAAAGGATCATGATTCTCCAAGGAAACTGCTTCTTCTAGAACTTATTACTGATAAGCAAGATCTTTTTGAAGATTTCTTTGCTATTGTTGCCTTTGGATTGCACAAACCAAAGTCTTTGCATGATTTCATTTTATTTTTGTAATTTGGTTTCGCTTTCTTCGCAAGATCTTCTATGCTTTCCACCCTTGCTAATGAACCAAAAGATTGTGCTTTCCCTTGATAAAAAATAGATAATCCTCTCCTGCAAATCAATGGAAAATTTAATAAAAGTAGAAAAAAATAGTAAAATAAAAAAAAGCATGCATCATGATTCATGCATGAGTTTGCTTACTTTATAGGAAGATTGTTCATTAGCTCTGATAATTCATATAAAGGACCGTTTAAACTTGATGAAGATGAAGAAAAAGAAGAACAATTTGAATATGTTACATCATCATCATCATCCTTAGGAATCCAATTGGTGTTACTTTTTCCATTCATGATTTCTTGTAATGTGTCAAGAAGAAAATCTCTCTCTTATGCGGTAGTTAAGTTTAAGAGATATAAAATATATATACAAATAAATGAGATTTGGATAATATTATTGCTTTCAAATATATGAGTTGGATTTAGATAAATATGAAGTGTATTATTAGAATTAAATTTTAGTCACAGTCATAGCACGTTATATATGGTGTAAAATAAATAGCTTCTCTCACATTAGAGAGGATAAGGACTATATGGAGACAACAATATGATGACTCATCCTCTTAAAATATTAACTTCTCTTTTACTTTTAGTAATTGATTTTTGTTGAACAGTTTAAATTATTTTATATAATTAATTTTTATACAGTTAATAGTTAATTAATTAAATTGAGAGAGATGTAACTCCAGAATTTTTTTTATTAATAATCATGTATTAAAATAATATTTCGTAAATAATCGGGTTTCGAAAAAAATTACGCAAATAATCATATTTCAGATGACTCCTCAAAGGAGGAGCCATCTGAAATGGCGCATGTGTTGTACCCCAAAATTTACCCTCCCATATTCTTTAAGATTTGCCAAGATCAATCTCCAGATGATTCAAAATCTCTCAAGGGTGGCACAGTCCAATTGCCTCCTAACACAGTAAAAAATTAGGGTTTTGGTTCTTGCAAAGAAATTGAGGTTTTCAAGAGTCCAATCAAGTCCCACATGCCTACATACATTGTCAAGTATCCTTATGTCAAGGTTCAAGACTCACAGCATCAAGTTGTCCAGTCAAAAACCCTAATTGCTCCACAATCAACTGCAGGGGCAAAATGGTCATTTGACAGTCAAAAGTTAAAAATTTTGGTCAACATCTTATTTTGAAGCCACAAACATCATTTGATCAATTCTTGATAATGATTCTCAAAGCATGGCTCAAAAAGTCTCAAGATGCAAAAGTTTCTATTTTTGGACAGTTGAAAAAGTCAACTGCAAATTGACCAGGGCATAACTTCTTCATGGTTTATCAGAAAAATCCCATCCAATGCTCATTTTGAATAGAATGACATTTCCTACAACTCATCTTCACACTTCAAGTCCAAGAAATGCTCTCACAAAAAGTTATCAATTTCAACATTATAGGTCATTTTCAAAAGTCAACAAAAAGGCACTTTAAGTCAAAGACCATAACTTGAGATTGGTAAATCAAAATGACATGGGACCAAAGACATTGGTTAGAGGACTTCAAGACCTTTCCAAAATGTCTAAGAACATGATCATAGCTTCAAAATTGAGCAAGATATGCCTTGTAGAAGTTGGGAAATTTTTGGGAATTTTGAAAAGTCAACTTTGCTTCAAAAGCTTCAAAAATGCTAATGGGCCTCAAATTCTTCCTTGAATCATTACCCAAAGCCTATGCACGACCCATTGAGCTCAAAGGGATTTATTTTCTTATTTTTAATTAATTAATTGAATTTTTAATCTTATTAATTCATTTAATTATATTTAAATATGAGAAAAATATCAAATCATGGTTTTAAATCTTTTTTGTGCAGCAAATATCTTCCACACATGCTAGAGATTTCGTGCACCATCTCAAGGGGACAATATCTTCCACAATTGGCAAGGATTTGCATGAAAAAGGATTGAAAAAGATGTGACAAAAATCAAATATTCAAAACATAAATGCATGAATCCATGGGCTTGTTTTTGACCTAATTTCATTCATGTACTTATGCACAACTCAACCCTATTCCAATGGACACGAAAAACTGCTCAGGAGGCCATAACCAAATTGCCAAATTTTCACCAAAACTTGAAAACTGAAATCTTAGTTGCAGGGTGATTCAAGGCTTCCAAACACTTCCATTGCCTTCCTGACATTGCTAGGAGTCGATTGCAACCATTTTCCAGTCCCCATACTCCAAGAATCGGTAGAACAGAGTCACACTTTTCATGAATATGTTCATAATCGATTTTTGATTTCCATGCATTATTCATGCGTTTTATTTATTGATTTACACTAACAATGATATTCTGAAGCGAATGGTACCATTTAATTGAACTAACGATGCTTGTATCCAAATCTGCCATGGATGAAACCTAGGGTTTCAGAAGCTCCAAATTAGGGGTTCTCACATATGGAAAAATTGGCCCTTAAAACCTATGCCATTGAATTCCTGGTATCAAGACGAAGCAAACCAATACCTCGCGCCCTTTTTATATTTGTCCATGTTCTAATCGCTATTTTTGCAGTTTTTATTTAGTGGGGGTTTAAAACCCCCGCTACTTGTTTTATATCTTTCAGGAAGATGAAGAAGAAAGCTAGCGTCTCAATCTATGGTTGGGACATTCAAAATCTGGCGCGTTTTTCTTGTTGGATATCATTAACTTTTGTTTCTTTTATATTATTTGTGTTCCACTAATATTACAAATGCGCGCATTAGCTCAGTTGGTGGGTGAGTTGTCTTGCAGGTATAGGGACCTGGGTTCGATTCCCAGGTCCCCCACATCTTGCATAATTTTTGTCTCAATATATTCCCATGCAGTTTCCATCCAATGTTCTACCATGCATCCTCATACGCTAGCCTGCCACGCGCCCATGAGCTTCAATCCAAAGGCTACAAGAGGATGTCTACCATGTACCTCAGTCAATGGACACGCACTCAAGCTGGAAAAGTCAAACAGGCCTTGTCTTGATGGGCCAAAATTGCTTCCAAAAAAACCTCCAAAATGGGCCTGACACCCCCCTGGTTTGCATTTTAGTTTTATTTTTCTTTTCAATTCTTTTCTTTTTTGTTTTAATTTGTTTTAATTGTTTTAATTATTTTATTTAATTCACTCAAAATAATTTTCACAATAAAAAAATCAGAAACTAAAATATGTTTAATTAATATTTAATTCATCATTAATTTATTTTGTAAATAAACTAACAGTTAATTTAGTTTAATTTAGGTTTTACTTTAATCTTTTCTTAAATAAATAAAAACATGTAGAAATTAGGTTTTTTTGACATTTTATCTTTTTCTTAATTCATTACTTGCCTCATTATTTATTATATTATTAAATATTTTTGTATATAAATATGTAAATAATTAACTAGTAAATTAGGTTAAACTTTAATATTTTCTTAATAATTAAAAATAACTTAGAATTAGGGTTTCTCCTGATTTTCAATTTTCTTTATTTTTATAAATACAAAAACCTAAAAAAAACATTCCTTTTCTTTAATTTAATAATAATTAGCTTTTAATTTCAATTTAATTTCTCAAAAGGGTCAAAACCCTCGGACGTCCTAACTTTTATTCTTTCGCACGTTATTCTTTTTCTTTTCGAATATTATGTAATTGCTCAAGGCTTGTAATAGTAATTAGGTCTTTTACTTTCCGCATTTTTACCAAAACGGGTCTTTGTATTTTGGGGATGTATAGACCCGCGCCTTGTAATAGCGTAGGATTTATCTTTCCGCGTTTAAATTTCCGCACTTTTAAATTCTAATTGCATGAAAGAATGTATGGCTAATTAAAAACAATGCGTAGCTCACAATGCCCTGATCAAAGATAATTGCTAAACTGAAAACAACACACAAATTCACACACCACTCCTAAGGTATGCCTCACCTGTTGCCTTCGAAACGTGGTCGTCAAGTATGAGACGTCTTAGTAAGTCCTTATGTCCATGATCCAGTTGCCTCGAAACGGTTGCCTCGGATTAAAAAAAGGATCAAGGGCATAAGGGTAGCTTCTAAGGTGTCCTACTGTTGCTCTGGTGACCACACTGTCCCTAAACTCGAATTGACCCGAACACCTCCAACGGTGGTGCTACCTATCTCTCAATGGTGGGATGACACTACCTCAAGGACATTTACACAGCCTAATTCCTTAGAGTAGGTAGATGACTCATAGATACTTGCTCTATTCAAAAACAAAACAAAAACCTTTTCACACCGACACTTTCAAAAAGCTTTCAAAACAATTTTTCAAACACTCTTGAGGACTGATACAAGAGTTATTCAGAAATCTTTTTCAAACCCACTCACAATTGAAAAGCAAACACTTTTGAAAACACAATGAGCAAGTATCTAAGAGCCCATGGATAACCATGGATAGAAATGGTGCTAACACCTTCCCTTTCTATAAATATACCTCCCGAACCGAGAAACTATCTCATAAGGAATTTTGCTGTGTTTTTGTCCTGTCCATGTTGGAGAAAATAAAAGACGGTGGCGACTCTTGCTTCTGCGACATTTCGTGAACCAGCGTTAAACAGTCAGTTCTAAATCCACCGATCACAGCATGCACCTACAATTTTGCCCTAGGCGCCATCTCACTTGGCGCCTCCCTTGGCTTTTAGCCAAGTGAGATGGCGCATGCTCCTTAAAAGTGAGAGGAGGCGCCATCTCACTTGGCTCCTAGGGCAAAACTAGGGCAAAATGCTGTTTTATGAATAATTCGTCCGTTTCTCTGAAATTTCTCACACTTTCTCACACTATTTTTATTTTGTACTCTGTTATTTACGTCATGACGTCGCCTATGATTTTTAGCAGAGATGGTTACGTTATCTTCTCCGCCACGAAACCTGCGATGAAAATGAAATTCTGGCACATTCACTCCATGAAGCGTCTGAAGCGGGAGTTGATGCGATGGCTAGATGGAGACATTGTGGAGGGGGAAAAAATTCGAAGGATCCAGCGAAAATGAACAACAACCTCACATGCGACAGGAAGACCTAATGTGTGGTTGGAGGAAGTCAAAACAGGCAGCGATGTAATGTTGATGATGCATGGGTCAGATGAAATTGTGTTAACAGTTGTAATTTCGTAGATGGAATATCGTTAATTATTCTTGTACGCGTTTTATTAATTGTAGCAAAATCTGTAACGGAAAACCCAAATGTTTACAACACAATTAAGAAAAGATTGTATGTATTACAATATTTATATGGTCGAGCCAGACGCCCGATTCGGACAGTTTTTGCGATTGTGTCCGACCTGACGGCATAAATCACACTTTCTTTCCAACCTGTCAA